CACCACTTCCTCCTTGTCCATTGGGAATGTTAATGCAATTTCCATTCCATTTTCCCCTTCTATAAACCATTTTTCTGACATGATCGCTTTTTAATTTGGAATTTAGCTTTTACTCCCTTAACGTACACAGAGCACAGTTCATTTTTACCCTTCGCAACACGTGTTTATAATACTGCTAATCACTAGTTTTTTTGAAAAGAATTGGGTCAACTCAATCAACAGAATGATTGTAAATGAATAGTGAGTGTAGCTTAGCATAAAGACTGATAGCTGAACAGGAAATAACTGTATGTAAGACATATGTTTACATTTTTAAACTTTGTTTTTAGTTCATTAAACAAAGAAGATATGATGTTTGAATAAGTGAGCTTAAGATGTTGTAGCCTTATATTAAGTGTACATATGAGAATGTATTTGTTAATTAACAGAGAACAGGGACAATGCACAATAACACGTATTGCCAAAATTAGGCAAAAGGCATTTGTTCCTCTGTAGACTGGAAAGTCATTCTAAGAAAGGATTTGTTATTTTTACGAGCTATTCATTTCATTTGACATTACTTTTCATTTCAGAATTTTTAAAACAACAGTATTACCTTTTATATTTGATGCAATAGCTCAGATATTGCACCATCTAGCAGTGTGGTGCGTTGATATTGTCAGCTTGTTGATGGTGTTGCACATGCTGCGCTGTAGTAATTCCCTGTCTTCAAAGGCCAGACAGCGGCCAGGTAGCAAAAAGAAAACGTAGCTTCCACCACACTGTGTATCGAATTCTTAGCAATGTTTGCTCTTTTAGTTTCACAGGGATTTCCCTAAACCACATCAAACAGCCAAATCGTATCTGCCATCGTTGTTCTTGGCCCAAAATCATGGATCGCTAGCAGGATTTGGATTGAACAGGGGCTTGTTGTGAAGCCAGTCTGGGGATTGGACAGTGGAAAGGTCTGGCTTACCAAATTCAGACAGAGTTGGCCTGAAATATGCCAGGTTTGACATCAGCAGTGGAAAGGAGAAAAGCGGACAGAGGAGTTATTTCTGGCTTGGCATGTTCCGTTTTCTGATTGATGATTTAGGCAGAGATCTCCGTAACAGTGTGCAGTGAAATTGTTGTCAGGGTGATGCAGCAGATTGGGGTCCAGTTACACTTTTATGACTTACTGAAGGTGGTAGCTACCGTGCCAGTACCAGCTGTGTATCATACATTTGGGATGTGCAGCAGGCCTTTTCCTCATCAGTTTGGTATCTTAAGGTGCAGTCATATTTACTCTATTTGCTTGTCATACCCCGAACCAAAAACAAAGTCCAAGCTGCACAGAAAGTGTGAAATATGAGCCCTCTACTACAAATCCTCATAGGTATTGCAGTGTGCATACGGGGAACAATGTCCTCTTATGGCTTAACTCTCTTGATTATTATTGATACATTTGGGGTAGTGAGTCATTAGTAATTGAAAGTAACATTTTCCAAAGCTCAAGCCATTGCAAGATAAGAGTTTAAAACATTCAGGTAAATGTTCTTATGTGATGAGAAATGCTAAAGATGTGCACAATAATAACTTGTGTGTTGTAGCATCTAACCCAATGGACATCGACTGTATGCGTCATGATTCAGGGCTGCCTGGAAACGAGTGATATTGTTTCAACAGAACTCAGAGACCTTTTTGACCCTAATGGCATTATTGCTAATATGCTTACAACAATGACGCTTAAATGCTAGGCAATTTTTCTCACCTAAGTTTTGCATTCGAGTATGTACTGCTGAGCCTGGGAATATTTTGCAAGAATGAAGTCCAAAGTATGCAACCTTTTGAGCCGTTGTCATGCTTACATCACGGTGTTGGCTGGAGGAAAATCCATGGAAAGACTGCAGGCAAACACGAATAATCTCTGGGTTTTGGGCTAAAGTTGCATCTCAAAACTGTTGCTGTGTAGTTGGGGTCCAGAATTGGAGTAGTAATGTCCCAGATTGAAGATTTAATCCCATAATAGCCTTTAAAAGTCTGTCAACTATCATAAATAGGATCCTAAAACGCAAGGAGGCAATCATCAAAATGCTTGTGTTTGGAGCGCTCACTCATACACTGAGAGACTGAAACGGTGATTTTAATTAAGGGTTAGGGTTAACCTAATGTTTTTTATTTAAACTTAATATTATTGCTTTCAACTAACCTAATACATTTGTGTGAAATCTGTTGACATAATACATTCAATTAATGTAACGTTTCAGTTTTCTCAATTTATACGTTTTAATAAAGTATTGTCTGTTGTAGGTATGGATATGCATCTAATGTTTGGTTGTGTCCACCTATCAGAAAGTGTCTGGGATCTTTCTTCCTTTGTTTCCTCTAGATATATAGGCACACTTAAACTGATAATGGCCCTAGATGAGTAGTCCAGTCTTGAATGTGCGCACAAAATATTGCGTCTTTGCATTTAACAGTTGTTGAGACATTTTACTTCAAATAATAAAATGTCACCTCGTGCTGGCATTCAAGGAAATCACCAACGTCTTGAGCATTCCTCCTCTTGACTGCACATTATGCTGCTAATCCATCCTGTAGAGATGTAACTAGGTCAAAACGTTGACATGCTGATGGAACTCACAGAAAGTCAGGGGACCACGGAAGTAATAGAACTCATCCTGTGGGAACCATATATTATATGTCAAAAATCTAATCTAAACTAAAAAAAAGATCCATTAGTGTTAATATTCTGTCACTCTTCATCAAGTGATGGATGAACATTACACCATCCTTATAATTGCATTCCACCTTTTAAAAGAGGAGTTTAAGGACAACTTCCAAGAAGGATTTATGCAAGGAGAAGGACATTTCAGAATGGGGACATAGCAAAATGTTTAATGTTCATTTGAAACATTTCACGCAGTTAACCTAGAATGTCAACAGGAGACCGCTCATGCAATGTTAGTATTTGGCCTGTATGAGTTCCAGCTTTTCCAAGCAATTTTAGGAAATGTGTTTCAGAAGTTCTGTGTTCCCAGGAACTTAAACCAGCACACGTGCTCACAGTGGCCATACATGTGTGGCCTAATTGCCTACAATAAAAACATGTCATTGATATAATAGTCAAAATGTTTCAAGAAAAAATTGTTATGACTGTTCAGAGGTTTACTTGACTGAAGTCCTCACAGACACACCCAGCCTCCTCTGTTACTCATATACTGCTGCAAGTTACACTCCTAATAATAGATCAAATGTAGGCCAAACATGCTGTAGTGGAACATAGTGACATGGTCCAAATATGAACCTTCCTCATTATACAAAAGACTTAGTGGCATGAAATCAAATGGTCATCACACCGTCATTAATACATTTGCTTTAGGCCTAGATGGGCAGCTAACGTCACACCAAATGGATTACATTGGAGAGCCAGCTGGAGGGAGGGATGGAAGAAAATGGCTGATAGTAATTCAAATCAAAGCCATCTAATCAGCCAATGGCGTAAGGATATCAGTCGACCAAACTCAAAGACTGGTAGTAACTTATTAGCTTCTTATAAATGATGAATGTCAACTTTAACCTCTCGCTCAGTACCAGTTGTCTCTGGTTTCCAATCCTGTATTGTGTTTCAAAGAGTCTGAATCACATTTTCCACTTACCAAAATGATCATTGACTTCTCCTGACATCTGTCTTGCTTTCCTTCTTTCGGACAAATCAGTCTTAGATTTCCTTGGAGTGGCTTCCAAAGATCCCACGGGGGTTTCATTCGGAAAGTCACTGAAACGTGTTTGAGATGGCAACTAATTCATCCATTCTCTTTGTATTTTTCTTCCCAGAAAATGTGGTGTAAAAGAGCACATTGTTCCCATTTTGCTAAAAATGCTTTGCTGGAGAATTAAGCATATGCTTGTTGTATTACACGATGTGTTTTGATGGACATCACTGCCAAGTAAAGCACAGTCCATCTCCTGCTCTGCTCTCTCCATAGCAACCGCATCACACCATCAGGTCATTACCCTGCGCCTGGCTGATTTTCTTAACTTTGACTTTAGTTGACCATTCAACATATATACATCTGTATGCCTCTAAATATCTTAAAAGTGATCCATCCAGTATTTACAGGTTGGAACCATAAGCGGTTACACACTGTACATTCAGACCGTGGATGCTTCTGGTTTCACAGGGGCTTTGAAGTGTCTCCTAAAACTAGACAGACTTCTTCACTCTTCTCAGCAGTGTCCTGCCTGTGAACCCTGTCAGGACCACAGAGGCAGGGGGCCAGCCTGGGACAAGGTCAGGCCCTTTTTAACAAGCTGTCATGTGTTTGGTGGTTGAAGTGTCCATCAGACAACGAGCAGTATACAATACATCCATACATCGAACGCCATTGTTATAAAGATTTGCTTTGTCGACAGGAAAAGATTTACAAGGACATCTATTATGAATGCAAGTCCAACTGAAAAGATATGTCCTTCAACTCGTTAAGCAACACATGTGAAGCTCTTGAGAGCCCCGGGAGGCCCTGCTTCACCTTTGACCCCAACAGCACAGTGCTTCAGCTCCTGGCATAGTGGAATAGTTAAGCAGAGCGCTAAATAGTCCTGTAATGTTGGCGATATGGCCCCCATTTAAGTACATTTATGGCTTTAGTACTGGGGCCAGGCATGGTGTCCCCCCGAGTCTGTTATCTTTTATGGAGGAGAATGTCTGACATATTTGGGCGGACGCCTGCTGCGCACTTCCAGTCAGCACAAAGTTGAGTGCAGTCACAGGATGCTCAAATGTTTTCTGAATGTTGTAAGTTGGAATGATTTACAAAGAACTGCAGCTGTGTTTTTCCTTGAACAGGGGAGAAATAGTTGGGTGCTTGGTGATCAGTAGAGAATTAGGTCCAAAGGGAGCCTGGGACACTTTACGGTTGGCTATAGAGATTGCTACTTAGTCTTATCTCAATGTCACACTGCACATAGAGGTCGTTTGATTGTCATTGCTTTTATTTACATCCTTGATTATTTCTGTCTTTCTCTTTGTTCCTCAGTGACAGACATCACGTCTCGAGCTCCATCCCAGTCCCAGCCAAGTCTCAGCTGGGTGTGTCTGCTGCTTCAGAGATGGGCTTCCCCTCCCACACCAGCTCCCCCGACCGAGGCCTGAGGAAGAGGGCCAGTTCAGAGGCAGACAAGCCCACTCCCCCTCCCAGCTACAGCACAGCCATGGGGGAAAAGCAGACCCTGGCAGCGCCCTCTCCCTCACCCCAACACCTGTCCTCCTCCCTTGATGCCGGCATGGCCTCTCTCAACCTGGCCAAGTCTACGGAGCCCACCGAGGACGGAGAGGAGAAGGAGGAGAGCAGGGAGGCAGAAGTGGAGGTGGGGAGATGCAGAAGCACAGATGGAGAGATGGAAGTAGATAAAGAAGAAGAACCTGAGGAGCAACCGACCAGTAGCACTGTTGCGTCTCACTCTCTGACAGTGCAGGACACTGGAGAGGACAGCAGTCAGCACACGGCTTCAACGAACGGCTCTGTCAGTCTGGCTCCAGAGCTGCGCTGCTCTGTGGAGCAGGCTGAGGAGATCATGGGCACAGAGGCCACCGGGCTGGGGCTGGGGCTGGGGTTAGGGGTGGCAGACGAGGCCCGGATGGAAGACTACCGCTCCATCCCGGTGGACCACGCAGTCGCGGTGGAATGTGACGAGCAGGTGCTGGGGGAGCTGGACGCGGCCGGCTTCGAGGAGTTCTCCAGGCGCATCTACGCACTGAACGAGAACATGTCCAGCTTCAGGAGGCCGCGCAAGAACTCTGATAAGTGATGCTAGCACCTGAGGAGAGAGGGAGGCATGGAAGACTTGCACAGGGACAAACACATGCAGGGACATCAGGGCGGGTCCACTCCCTCATCACAGCATCAACAATGATATGAGCTATTCTGGAATAACGACCAATTTGCACTTATTGTAAACATTTCCATAGTAATCTTTTAAATGAAATGCGGTTGAAGTGTAAGTATTGGGACAGTTAGCTTTACTTGTATTTTTGATGCCAGCATTCATATATTTTTAACAATGGATGGAACAATGCTTCATTATTCAGACATTTTTAATCACAACTACATTTGGACTTGAGCTTAACAATGGCCCTTTTGAATTAGTGTTGTTGTTCACTAAAAAACTGAAACGTTGACTTTAATGAAATGCAGTATGTCAACAGATTGTGTTTGGTTAGTTGGAAGCAATATTATTAAGTTTAAATACAACACATTAGGTTCAACTTAATATTATTGCTTTAAACAAACCTAAGAGTTATGTGAAAGTTGTTGACATAATACATGTCATTAATGTCAGTGTTTCAGTTTCTTCAGTGAAGTCTGTTGATCCAGGAGACATGGGACCATAACTCAGAACAACTCCAAAGTGTGTCAAGCGTGTTTCAAGTCCTTCATGCAGTACCTCGTTTGCTCTTTACTTCTTGCACACACATTATTATCTCTGAACTGCAAGATTCACTGTGTGTGTGTGTGTGTGTGTGTGTGTGTGTGTGTGTGTGTGTGTGTGTGTGTGTGTGTGTGTGTGTGTGTGTGTGTGTGTGTGTGTGTGTGTGTGTGTGTGTGTGTGTGTGTGTGTGTGTGTGTGTGTGTGTGTGTGTGTGTGTGTGTGTGTGTGTGTGTGTGTGTGTGTGTGTGTGTGTGTGTGTGTGTGTGTGTGTGTGTGTGTGTGTGTGTGTGTGTGTGTGTGTGGACGACGTGTGTGTGTGGACGACGTGTGTGTGTGGACGACGTGTGTGTGTGGACGACGTGTGTGTGTGGACGACGTGTGTGTGTGGACGACGTGTGTGTCGCAGCTTCACACTAGCATGCAACAGTTACAGTGAGGTTTCAATGAATCCCACCAATGACCTTTGTCAGCAGGGTTTTGCCCCCACTAATGTAGTGAGAGTCATAACCAGAGAGCCCCCCCCCCCCCCCCCCCGTCATTCTCCACTCGGAGTCCAGGGTCTCCTTCAGGTCTTTAGGTGAGGAGCGGGTGTCCGCTTGGAGCTCAGCACATGGCAGGGATACGGTGCAATTGTTTTTCTGTCCATCTCCATGTTCTCGATTACTCTCTTTTTATTTTTCAATTTGAATGTACCCCATTAATAATAACATCCATGTTAATGCCACGTCACTGATTCTCATATTCAGTGGAGCAAAGAGTTCATTGTGTGTCTGTATTCTGTTGGGATGTCTCACTCAGGCTTTACTGTAAGTGTTAATAGCAAATGTCTCTTTTCCATGGTCTGTGATGTTGTCCTGTGTCCATGTTCTGAATGCTTTCTTGCACTGGTATTCAATGATTGCATTATTTAAGTCTCAATGATTGTGTGCTTTGTTTAAAAGAAAATCCATATTTAGTTTAATGTTCCCCACTCACATGGGATGTCGCTCATTAATATTGTTAGACTTCTATTAAAGCCTAAAAAGGCTAGAAACAAACAATATTACCGGTGTCTGGTCCTGAGGCAGACGGCTGCTCTGCATCGCCGCCATGACTCTTCTGCCCGCTCCGTGGAGAGCTATTGTATTTAATACTAAAGATAAAACCTGATCATTTCCATCACATGCTATAAGTTCAGTAAGTGACCGTGTACAGATACTTTTGTATGGAGGGTTTTTGTTATTAAAGACTTACATCAATGGCATGGATGTATGCAGCCCCCTTGAGAGTTTCTATTGGTGTGCTCAAGTTTCACTGCAAGGGTTTTACAGCAATACAATGTATCAAACATGCTAGCCAGCATGCTATCTTGCTCACATTGACAACATGCTAGCCAGCATGCTATCTTGCTCACATTGACAACATGCTAACCAGCATGCTATCTTGCTCACATTGACAACATGCTAACCAGCATGCTATCTTGCTCACATTGACAACATGCCGACGCTAGTTATCAAGTTATAATGTATACCATGTTTCACCATCTTAGTTACAGATTGTTAGCATGCCAACAAATACTCTTTAGGACGAAACAAAAAGAGTCTGATGGGAATATATCCTAGTTGATCAGGTATGTTGGTAATCAAAGTACTAAAGAAATTAGAAATGTGACCTGATACTTGCACTACCTGAAAAGTCAGAGGATCACCAAAGTGTCATTCTCTTGAGGATACGTGCACTAAACGTGCATGTGTGCAACAAATGAAATGGCAATCCAACCAGTAATGTGGAGACACCTCATGGTGGAGGCAGTGGCGGTTCTAGGCCAATTTGGCTGGGGCCAGTTATTTTCTGAGGGGGGCCCAATAAATGCAGGATGAAAAAGACAAAGACAGTATGAAGTAATTGCGCATACACCTAAGAAAACAATGCAATACAGTTATTTACACATTATTATACACTTACCTTTATGTGCTGTTTGGGTCTGTGGGACCCGTTTTCAGTGTTTACTAAAAGAAAATGTATGCAATTTAATTATTTGAACCTGCTTTATTTGGGGGGGGGGGTCCTCACCTCCTCTAGGGGGGTCCGGGGGCATGCAGCCCCGGGAAGATTTTTTTTTAAATGTTGAAGTGAAATGCATCTATCTGGTGCACTTTGAGCACATAATGAATTGATGGATACAGCTCTCAACACTCATGAAAGGGAGCTGTATACTTTTCAATAATCCAATCATCTTTAGAATATGATCACAACCAATAACAAATCATTTAAACGTGTTTATTCTTATCTTATGTTACCTATAGTTAGTATTCTTTCTTTTTATTTATGCATATTTTACTAATCACGCTTTTATTTATTTTTACTGTCCTATAGTAGGCTACACATTGGAATGACATTAAGTAGATAAAGGTGTGCTCTCTCTCTGTCTCGCTCGCTCACAGAGGCTGTGTGCTCCTCCGTGGCGATGACGGATTGCGTTAAATAAAAAATTAAAAAACGTATTTGTAAAGTGAGGGCTTGCGAGATACTGGTAGCTCGTGATCGACGTGTTGGAGAACCCTGCTCTAATGGGTCCGACTAGAATGACAAATATGAGGCATAAATACTCATATGAACCTGGAAATGAGCAGAATAGGGCCCCTTTAATGAATGCTGTTGAGAACCTTCACAGCTGAATGGTAAGCAGCCATTAACTCATCATTAACTACACCTGTGAAACCAGTGCAAACTAGTGTGGCTGGCCTTTTACTGCAGCCCATGTTTCTGTGATTGCACATAAACAACAGCTGATATGTTTATGGTTCAATACAACAGTACTCCATGGACAGGGAAGACTCCAGGTGCATCCTGCTTTGAACTCCTTGAAAGTCATTAGTCTGGCAGGTACGGCTCATAATCTGTACCATCTGAAATATATTTGAAATGTATCTCATTTTAGTGTTGTCAGATTGAACATGTTGTGCTCAGCTCTCCTGGCTGGTGTACCATGCATCCCTTTTTACTGTAGTTGGGGATGAATGGAAACATTGTGAAATATGGTACTGACTTGGTCAATCATGTCTTAAGCCTCGTTTTACTTCTCTGATTATAATCAACCATTTGTACTGAGGCCAGCGTATAAAAGGAGTAACTGGGGTTTTTTGTTTCCAGATATTTCATAGTTGTTAAATTGATGGACCTTTAATGCTTGTCATTTATTTCAGATTCATGACATCACGTTGTTTATGCATGAACTACTATCAGTTTCAGTGTGTTGGCCAGAGCAGGCTGAAGCCCTTATCAATGTGAGCACCACATACCTTACATATATATGTACACATGTGGTGATACATGTGACTTACAGTGCCTTCAGCACTTGAAATAAGCCCTTTTCTAATGAAATAAGCTCTTGTGCATTCCTTTACCTCATTATACACTCGTCTGGGTCAAATCCAACCTTTCCGTGGTATTACCATGTCACTGTGTTGTCAGGGTTACAGGCAATGTTTCAATTTGTTCACATTAAGCACCGGAAAACAGTAACTTAAAGCCTTGTAAATCACTTTCGGGCAAATTATGTTTGGCTGCTATCAATATATTTATTATATTATTTATAAAGCTTTCTCTTTCAGAGTCACCTGTTGGGCTTTTTATAGGCATTACCATTAGGAATTGCAATAATGCAGATGATTGCTGAAGCTGTCCCATACATTCACATGAAGCAGTTTCCTGCTCCATAAGCTCCTCGTGTCACTGCTGACTGTCTGCTGTCACGGCTAAGCCCCCGCAGGTGTCTGAAGGCCTCAACACTCGGCCTTCTGGGAGTCACATTTCATGGAGCTGGGGACAGGACATTTGTGCCATCATGGAAGGCAGACCTGCTGTAGCATGTGAGTGCATTTTCCTGTGCACAGGTGCACGGCTTTAAACGTTGATAGTTTGCAGGTTATTATTATAATTTAAAGTTTATGAGAACAAGAACTGAGGCATTGAGAGTGAGAGTAAGCAGGCCTCATTTCCTTACTCACAAAGCCATCTTCATATTCTCGAGCTGAGTGCTCGGTTTAAAGAGTTCAGCGCGGCTGCAATGTATAGTCTGCTGTACTGGTCATCATCACAGGCACCTCACAAAATACACACCAGCCCAAAGCAGTGTGTGTGTGTGTGTGTGTGTGTGTGTGTGTGTGTGTGTGTGTGTGTGTGTGTGTGTGTGTGTGTGTGTGTGTGTGTGTGTGTGTGTGTGTGTGTGTGTGTGTGTGTGTGTGTGTGTGTGTGTGTGTGTGTGTGTGTGTGTGTGTGTGTGTGTGTGTGTGTGTGTGTGTGTGTGTGATGTGTGTGTGTGTGTGTGTGTGTGTGTGTGTGTGTGTGTGTGTGTGTGTGTGTGTGTGTGTGTGTGTGTGTGTGTGTGTGTGTGTGTGTGTGTGTGTGTGTGTGTGTGTGTCCTCAGAGCAGTGATACTACAATACTCTGTTCATTGATTTTAATATTCACCAGACATACTGTCCACTCCTGATGTGCGTTGTGTCATGAAGTAGACTCCATCTCAGTGTGCATTATGGGTAGGATTAACAATGTTCACAGGGAGGAGACTCGCTGCAGTCCCTCAGCACCTCATTTGTTCTGCAGCCATATTGTCTGACTACATCGGTCCCAGGTCAAAGTCATTCAGCGTACCCCTGTCATTCTATGGTCTCACTGAAATGCTATACCCTGTCATTACCTGGTCCGTCATTGTTACCGTGGGCGGTGCTCGTGTACAAAAATCCTTTCATTTCTCACCAGGCATCTCCACATACTGTACATTTATTTTGGGAAATATGTAAACAAATGGGAAAAAAGTACTGCATGACCAGTGGCGGCGCCAGGGTATGGCTGGGGTAGGCTACAGCCATACCAAGAAATGGCTTAGCCCCACCATGAAAAATGATGTTAAAGGTGGGGTAGGTACGTTTCAGAAACCGGCTCGAGATACACTTTTTGTTATATTCCATGGAATACTCTTAACATCCCGATAGCAATGAATATCTTAAGTGCTTTGACAAAAAATCCATAAAAAAATGTCATCTGTGGAAGCCGTAATACTGTAAAAAGTACAACCAATCCGTTTAGCCGGGCCGGCTAAACGGATTTTTGGCCTACCTGCCTGTCAGCCTGCCATCGGGGCACAAACTTATCTCGTGCCCTCATTGGTCATGTG